TTGTATTTTTTAAAAAGTTTAATGACACTCAGGTAATTAATAAGAAAAAAAGAATCAAGGATGTGAAAATACTTGAAGTACATGCCAAAACAAACTGTATTGACAAATGCTTTGTTATATCTGTTAATGTCAGGTATAAAAATACTTGAAGTACATACTTTTATTTTATATTGTTCAGCTGAAGACCCAGCTATTGTATTGTCCTGACATAGCTAATTGCATCACTTCATTTATTGACAAGGGACTTCTTACTAACACAATACTTAAAGAAAAACAGGATTGACTACTTTTTTTTATCCTTTACGTAATTTATTGTAGTACAGTTCCAAAAGCAGACAGTCCAGTTGGTTTCTTGTCCCTAGTTCATCATGTGGTCATGTTGTATTACCTTCAGGGCTTTTTTGTTTGTTTTACTTCCAATATAATTGGGCCTTTTACATTCTCTGTACTCCATCTATTTTTTGTATGTTTGGCAGTATTTTGAAATGCACTTGACCTTGTTAACAAGCATCTGACAATTATCATAACCTGACATGCCAAAAGTTATATTGGGTTTTCTCTTCTTATGGACACTAATTGCATACTTGAAGTGATGGATTTTGTTTCCTCAGTGCTGTGCTCCTTGATAAATTATTTGTCATAATTTGGGAAAGTGGTATGACCTTGTTTCTTCCATTTCTCTGAATTTCCAAAAGTGCATATTCAATGCAAATATAAATCATGTGCCATCAACTAACTGTTACAAAATTATTTACATGGAAACGGGGTGATTCTGTCCTATTTTCTGATCAGCAGTTAGTGCTTAAGAAAATCAAGTAGAATAGAGAGATGACTGAATTAATCCATGTTTGGCATAATATATCATATTTAGTACCCTTATTAATCTTAGGTATCTGCCTGGAGAACTGTAAGGATACATTACTTAGTCTCTTCCCTGGAAGTAAAGCATTTCTCTCTCTTCTTCTTCCACATTCCTGCACCATTTTACCGCAAGCCCCCCACCTCATCCTGTACAGGAGCCCATGACTGCCATTTGTCACACTTTCGCTGTCAGAAATGTGTTGTAAGAGATAACAGATGAGTGACACTGGAAAGAACTGCATCTGTGCATCAGGACCTACACAGCTCATACACAAACTGCTGCATTTTGATGTCTGTGTTACTTGCATCTCCCATTCCTGAACACTTGGGGGACAGAGGAGAGAGCTGTGGACACCCAGGCACACTGCCTCCAAATGATTTCCCCTGAACCACAGAGCTGTAGCTCATTCCTCATGATTAGCCATACGTTTTAAAGACAGTGTTTGATTGTGGATGATTTACAACAAAGAGATTACAGAGGCTTCCACCAGGAAGAGCAATTGTGAAAAATAAATAAGTAAATGGGCAGAGGGTAAGGAGAGACTTTTGAAAGAATGACTGAAGGAACTTCTGCATGCTTTCCAGTTCATGGAAAATGGGTGAAGGATGCAAAGAAATCATTCTGCCAATCTACAGAGGGGAGTGAAACCTGGAGCCCTCTGGTTAGAAAAAATAGCTTGTTTGAGCCCTGAATGTTTTAAGAAGAGAGTTATTCAAGTGAAAATTGCAGTTTGCAAAATCACGGAGTGGTCAGGATCGGAGGGTACCTCTGGGTACATCAGGCCCAGCCCCTGCCCCAGCAGGACACCCAGAGCAGAGTGCCAGGCCCACAGCCAAGGCAGCTTCTGGATATCTCCAAGGAGGAGATTGCACAGCATGTACCAGTGCTTCCTGATGTTCAGGAGGACCTTCCTGTGTTCCCGTTTGTGCCCATTGCCTCTTGCCATGCCAATAGAATCCACTGAAAAGAGCCTGGCTCCATCCTCCCTGCACCCTTCCTTCAGGTATTTATTGACATCCGAAAGAGTCCCCTGAGCCTCCTTTTCTCCAGGCTGAGCAGATTGTACCTGAAGTCTGTATCAGTAAATCACCTTTTTCAAGACCTTATTAAGTTTTCTTTAGCACTTCCACATAACTGCTGTGCTGATTAACATGTTACTGAAGTCTCTGGGCTCTGGAGGTTGTTATGAATGACGGAGCAGATACCCAAAATTCTTATTATTACATCTCCTATCATGTTTTTACAACCCCCATGGCAATTATAGGCAGGCTATTTTAAAGTACTTCCTGCAACCTTTTTTTTTTTTTTTTTTTTTTTTGCTTTCTTTAAGCTCAGAATTGTAGTTATTTAGCATTTCAAACAGCTGTGAAAGTGCAGGAAATGGCTGCTAGCAGCTAAATTTTGGAAGGAAAACTTTCAAGAAGATTTTCTCTAGTTAGAAAACTTCTTAAATGTTTAGTTACTTTTTTTTTTTTTTTAACAAGAAAGGTAATGAGCATTTACAGACCTGTAAAAGCATGCAATATCACAAAATCCACGTGAACAGCATCATCTGAAAGATACCTGCTCTGATTTCTGCACTGGGAACTGTACAAGCATTCCTGAGATTCCCCACTCTTTTAAGCAGGTGGCAGTGTCGGTTAAAAAGACATAGTTTTTCCTGCAGCAGATAGAAATTGTTGCTCTCCAATCTCTCCATTTATCTTAATGAAAGATAAGAACATATAACACTTTTATTGGGTTCCTGCCTAGATAAGGTTAGGAAAAAATTTGAAAAGTATGTCTTTGTTGACTCAAAACTCTTTTATTGTTTCCAGATGTGGCTTTGTGAGCTTTCTTTCTCAGAATGAGACTGCAGTAAGATACATAACTCTTCTTTAATACCATGTTAGCAGGAAGAAGTGTCTTCCAGTGAGGCTGGAGGATGTTGTAGCGCCGTGAGTCAGCACCAGCTCCCAGTTCTTACCACAACACTTTCATAGTTTCAATAAACGCAAAGTCTGTGGCCTTTCTTCTGTTGGACCTCTCATTGTGCTACTGACATAGACTTAGCAGGCAAGGCAGTAAGGATTTGATGTAGGTTCACACGTTTGGACTTTTCCTACTAATTTCTTCTTCCTTTGTTTTGCTGTGCCTAAGATTTGATATCTACCCTTTGCACCTATGAATAGCTAGTGAGGTGTGGAGGTTTTTTTCAGATATATCCTATTGTGTTAAGCTAAAATAAACAAAATGCTTTAACAGAGTTTCATTTAATGAACGGTAAGTGGCTTTGATCTCTTGGTAATGTCAGAAAACAACCAATAAAGTTCAGAAGGAATTTTTGAATATTACTACAAATGTGGTAAGAGTCTCTGTCGTGAAGTGTCAGTTTTTTTCCAGGGAGATAAGAGAATGTGTGTGTGCACTGGGAGAAAACTGCCTTTTTTGTTTGTTGTTTTTGTTTTTGTTTTTTGTCTGAATTGGATTTCAGAATATTGAAACAGATTTGATTTGAAATGGAATTGATTCTTATTTTCACAAAGTTTAGGATTTTCCAACAGGCCAACTACACCAATGTGGAAGCGTCCAGATTCTTGTCAGGCTGGCCAGACAGAGCAGGTGGTGAGTGGAGGAGAAACCACAAGGATGGCAGAGGGAAGCTCTTAGTTCACCAAAATTCACTAGATCAGATTTCCCACTTAAAATCATGTTAACAAAACACTTAAAGGGTTGAGCAGAGTTTCCACCCACCAACATATGTGTTTCAGAGGCTTCAAGTCACCCTGACTTCCTTCAAACAATGTGATACCCCCACATGAGGAGCTGTTGGTGAGCAGTGAAGGCTGTGGGAAGTGCTGTGTGAAGGATAAAGCATGGGGACGCTGGGGAGCAGGAGGGTACCCAAGGTCTGCAAGGTACCCAAGGAACCTCAGGTAACCGTGACCCTTGTTTCAGCTGCCAGTGCTTCAGTTCCTTATGTATAAGAAGAAAAGCATGATGCTACTAGCACTTTAGGGTGTGGGGATAGAGCCACCTCCAAGAAAGCTCAAAGCCATCAATTTCTTCTCTACACCACAGGACAACTGCAAACGGGCTCCCCAGATCCCATTCGCCCCTGCACTCCCGCTCCGCTCCTTACAAACCCCGCAGTGCCCCAGGTGTCGGGGGCCGCTCTCCCCCAGCCACTGGGTTGAGGCTTCGGCCCCTCTCCGCCCCAGCACGTACCGCTCATACGCACCCCCAGCGCCTCCCCTCTCGCAGCTCAGGTACACCCAGGCGCACAAAATGCCACACGCCGCCCTCGCACACGCACCCCGTGCCACCAACCTTCCCACTCGCCTTCTGGGCGCGCCCCCCCCCCCACGCGCGCACACAGAACCCCCACGCGCGCACAGACACGCGCGCCTCTCCCCTCCCAGACGCCGGACGCCAAGCGCATGCGCAGCAGCAGGCGCGGAGCTGTCCGAATGCTGAATTTATAGCGCGGTGCGCTCCCGCCCGCCTCATTCCAGCACGGGCGCTGGGGTTCCCCGCAGCCTCCGCCGCCCGCTCGCTCCCGCACGGCAGCGCAGACACCTCCCTGCCAACGGGGGAGTGGAACAGAGCGAGCCAGTAGCCCCACCACCCTTCCTAAATGCTACTTTTCTAAGCAAAAGGGGAATAAAAAGCACACCGGCAACAGACTGCTTGCTCTCAACGCTTACTCCCCTTTGGGTGATGCTCTTTGGGTAGTAGGGCTCTCCCTTCTTTTTACTTCTTTTTTCTTTTTCTGGTTTTTGTTTTTGATGTTTCTTTTTCTTTTTCTTTTTTTCCTTCCTTTCTATTTTTTTTTCTTTTTTTCTTTTTTTTTCTTTTTTTCTTTTTTTTTCTTCATCACCCAGTCAAAGCAAGGTGGGGAATAACCAGGTCTGATGCTTTGTATATTTTCTGTTGGCTGCTGGAGATGAGCCTAGGCTTGACCTGACCATGATTCCAAGGACTGGCATTTCTTTTTTATCCCCAGTTTGTAGAGATCCAGACCTTCTTTTCCTGATTGTCAAGAAAAATAAATTATTGCTGAATTTGGGAATCTAGGCAGCACCAGCATACTTTCTCCCTGCATCTCTCTGGAATCGTTTCTGGGATATTTTCCAAATCAACACAGAAAGCAGGAGGAATGAACCGGCAGCTAGTGAAAATTTTGACAACCTTATTTGCATTTTTCTTAGAGACAAACCATTTCAGGTAGGTGATATGGCTCTTTGTAATGATATTTCTCAAAGAATGCGGACATCATAACTGTAGAGAAACTATATCACGTTACCTAGTTTGTTTGCTATATCTGAGAGTGCTTTGTGTTCATTCTATATAGAATTTCCTTTTTACACTCAGAGACTCGTTGCTTGGTAACAAACACCAAAAAATATTCAAGTTTGGGTGATCTATTTTCCATTTCTCTGATTCAGCTACATGCTTTGTTACTGATTATCAGTATAGCTGAAAACAGTTTCTTCAGTTTTTCTTCCAAATGCTATTTAATCTTTGTACTCCCTCCAGAGCTTATGTAGGAAGTTGCTTTGGTTCCCTCCTCTTCAGGCTCTGGAAATGATCAACCAGATTTGTCAGGGATGTGGTTATTTGAAATTAGAAATCCAGTCTTCTGATTTTGGAAAGATACCTAATTAAACCAGTACTATGCTAATATAAAGTATCAGTACATCAGATTATTGCTTCTAATTTTTATTTTCTCTTTTTATTTTATTTCTAACGCTTGATGAGTTTTTGCTTCAGCAGCTGACTTCTTGCGATACAAGGCAAACAAGTCATTGCTATTCACCAAAACACCATTTCAGCTGAGATTCCTTATCTTCATGTACAAAGCTATGTATCTACATGTAAACATACAGAATGCTTTTATATGTGTAATAATGTATTTATACGGTGTCTGAGTGAAAAAAATGTTTGTATTCACGAGTTTGCACACGTGAGATGACAGCACAACTTATCACTAGTGGACACTGAAAGGAGACAGAAGTAGACTGTAGAGTATCATCCAAAATAATTAGATTGGATTAGTTTTCAAGTTTTTATTATCTTATCTGAACATTTCTAGTATTTAAGTGGCAAATACCATCTATTTTATATTAAAAATTAGAGATATAAGAGTGTCACACCAACAACAAAAGCAAAAAAAAAAAAAAAAAAAAGCAACTCCCTCCCTCCTCCCCCATATATGGAACTGAAAAAGTGGGGAATAGCATTACAAGATTTACTGTCACATTGCCTTTTAGCAGTCTGGGTGGCTTTATAAAAAGAGAAAGAATTTAGTGTTATTTAGTATTATTTAGTATGCTGACATGTAAATGCACAACAAAGAACAAGACTCCTGAAACGAAGTGGTTCCCTTTGGGCAAATATTTAAATAGAGAGTAGTTAAGAAGACAGTGCTTTTATTACTTTTAGTAACTCAATGAATATATTGAAGCACAGATACCATGATATTGGTTATTTAGGAACCAAGATAGTGCTGCTTGTGATGAAATCTGTGCCTCTGCACACCAAATATGACTATTTCATTACTAGTTTATTTTCCCTACAGAATGACCTGAGGGAACTGATAAATTCTTTTTTTCTGAAATACTTACTGTGCTTGAAGTATGTAATTTGTTATCTATATGAAGTTTCATATGCATAGTCTGGTACCAGAAGTTTACTTTTCAAATCTGAAAACAGGCATATGTTCAGGAGCTTGCATATAAATACCAGCTGGTGATAATACTGATCATTTACTATTTGATGTTAATTGGTGAAAAAAAGACCAAAACAAATCACTAAGATCATGTATGACTGACTGAAACCTTTTTTCCTGGTGAAGAAGCCAGACATTCACTAGCATGATTTCAATCTTCTTTGAGTGGCATCTATAAAGAACATTTTTTTGCATCTACGTTCTTTCTAATATTCACAAAACCAACATGTAGCAGATCTGCTTGATGAGTGATGACTCCTATTGTTTGGAAGTTTACAATCACCTTGAATCAGTGCTAAAAGGCATAAATTTTAACAATATACTTCTAATTAAATCAGTGATATGAGTTAGATATCAAAATTCCTGTAAGATTTCTTTGCACATTTTTTTTAAAAAATAGACTGAGTCTTCTAAATTTTTAAAGCTAAAATACATTTATTTTTAAAGTGGAGGGGGTTTGTTTTGAACAGCAAAATGTGTGCATGCATGCTATCCAAAATTCATTTTTATTTCTAGCATAAAGTTTTCTAATGAAAAATATATGATATCATTCTATAAAAATCTTATTTGCTGCATTCAGTTAATTGAGACAATGTTATTCATTGTTATAATTTTTTTCCCTGACTTGAATGAAATACTAGCTAAGTGGCTAAATACTATCTAGCTAAATTTTGTATTTACTAGCTAAATACTAACTAATGATGGCTAATAATTTATTTAGGACGACTTTCTGTAAAGAACATGATTCAAGATCTGGAAAATCCCCCTCACAGACCCTGTCTCCTTCAGATTTTTTGGACAAACTGATGGGGAGGACATCAGGGTATGATGCTAGAATCAGACCAAATTTTAAAGGTAAGTTTTTTTTAAGACTGTTGATAAATTAATGATTTTGTTTGTTTTGTTTAAGGATGTCACATCTAATTCCTTATTCTTTTTACAATAACTTCGGCTTTCTAGGGTATTTTGTCATGCAGATAAGTTGCTCCAAGGGGAGGACTAAAGGAGCAGTGTAGGTAGTAAGCGTACAGAGCTCTGTACAGAAAACCCTCTCTTCAAATTTACCTATATAGGTCAAAAACGATTAGCTATCAGATGTTGTCTCCAAAGACCTTCATAATTTCAAAAAGTAAATAGGATTTCCCTCTAAAAGTAACTGACATAACCTGTTCCTGAAATTTTTAAGCCATGAGAACTTTCAACGCTTCCATGCTGAATGGTGGTTTCTCCTGTAGCAGTGCCTGAAGAAGGAAGATAGGACTCGAGGTATGCACAGAGCAGTTATCCTGATAACGTTGACTGAATTCTCAGAATCAGTTTCCCATGATCCTTACAAAAACTACAAAAACATGTTCTGTTTGACACTTCTACGATTCTCTCCTTTTCTTTCAAAATTTGAACCAAGTTGTGGAGAATCACCACCACTATTCCAGCACAAAGAAGGCTGTGAACTGCCTTCTTCTGCAATTATTGCTATCAGAACAAGTTTTCCGTGTTATAGATTTTTAAATTCTAGTGGAAATGAACACAAATGTCTTTTGGCTTCAAATGAAGACAGCTATGAGGGAAGAGATAAATTTTTATCTCTTTTGAAGAGTTCTCTAATTCCTCCAAAACTGGCCCTTCAACCCAGCTCAAAGCTTGGAATGCAGTTATACTTTAAAAATTAATAAAACTCTTCCTTCGTAAACAACTCTGATGCTAATGTACATTTGCACTCAACCTATTGGCTTTGTTGACCAAAATGCATGATTTTCTACATTGCTCCTTGTTAGTGGTGCTGTGAAAGTTGATAACGAGGGGAACAAACAATAATTTCTTAGCCAGCAAATGAACTGATGGGAAAAAGCCACCTACATGTCAACGAGAAAAGTGTTTAATTAATTTAGATCAATGATCATTTTCTTCTCTCTGTTCCACAAGTACAAATTACAAGACATGGAATGAAGTGTCTTTTTTGACTGCCTACTATGCCTAGGTGAGGGGAAATCTAATTTGATTTTCAGATCCAAAGGTCTTAAAGTTAATAAAACTCTAGTCAGAGTTTTAATTTCAGAAGAGTTTACAAAATGCTTATTAATTTCCTGAGCTGGAGCCCATGTTATCTTGTAGCGATATTGTGTCAGGCTTTTGTATTCATTTGATGTGTATTTGTGAATATCAGAGAAGTTTTAGAGAATGCAAATAAAGACAGGAATTGCCTGAATTGAATGAGGGTAGCAACCGTTAAGAACTTCTTTGTGTCCTTGATGTTGGAGGGAAAGTAAAGGAAGACTTCTGCTTCATCTCTTGTAGCTCAGGTAACATCAGTGAAGTATACCAGTCCCTGTTCACATAACAACATGAACTCTTTACTTCTCCTCAGTATATGTCTAAAATCATTTGGTGATAAAGGCAGGAGGAGACAGATTAGCAGTTTTGTGGTTAGAGCAGGTATTGTGTGTACAACACAAGGTTGAGGTGTCTGAAAGACACTGCTTCCCTCAAAGCCTCATGGTTTCCTCCCAGTGTGAAGCTGCTTCCTGTTGGCACATGTGAGCTCCTAAAAGCAAAGAACCTTTTTCCAGAGCAGCAGTTTGAATTTACAGCAGATCTTCAGGAATTTTTCATAACTTCATATCTCTGATCTCTCGGAGGTTTTCTGATGGAGCAGAGAATTAAGTCACGTGGCTTTGAATTTCACTGCACCTGTGAAAACCTTTTCTGCTGATAACCATTTTTATTAGTCATTATGATGCAAAACCATGCTTCCGTTGCCAAAATCTTGTTAATTTTTTCAAAGAATGGAAAGAAGTTATTTTTCTATATAGCATATATTTTCCTTTTAAAGAATGAGAGTACAGCTGCAAGGAGGTCGTAAGAAATCTATTTGGCTTGGAATTAAGTCATATAAAGATTTTTTTGTGTACTGAATCTTTATTGTGACCTCAATACAAATTGCTTCCATTTCTAACATTTATTAATTGGTGCAATTTTTTGACGATATAATCTACTGCGCAATGCTGGTGTTTTAAGTCATAGCTGCACTGATATATGAAATGTTAAATGACTTCAGAATATTTTTTTTATATGTTAAGGCAAGAATTTTTAAGTATGAAAGATGCCCACAGGAAGAACCAATCAGACAAGCAATCAGCTACCTGGTTTTATTTATAATCTGGAGTTAATGTTAGTTTCCTGTGTTTCAGAAAATACAGTGTGAATTTGGACCACTACTCATGTATTTCTGTTCGTTTTTTTCTCCTTTAGATCATTGACTTAGCTTTCTGCTAGTTCAATAGGCACTTTAAAATGCTAGAAAATTCGGATATTCTTGGAAAGGCAGTTGAGTAGAACTCCTTTATCTTATACAGCTAACTATGCAATAATCAAATGTATTTATATGACAAGTCTGAATTACTGGAAAACAGCAGCTATTTGATTAATTTGTGGAATAAAAGCTAAAAAAAGAGAGGAAAATGCTGCTTACTGGAACAAGGTGTTTTATCCAGATAAAGAATTTCATCATTAGTTACATGCTTTTCCCTAAATGACTCTTGCAAAGCAGAACATTCAGGAAGATACTGGGAGAGCAACAGGTGAATACATAAGCACTTAGACATCAGTTCCTAGGTTTTCTGTTGGGCTTGTTTGCTTTTTGCAGTATACTGAAAGATTATTTTCTTATCGTTCTCTGTTATATAATCATTGGAATAGAGAAGGGAAGATTTCTGGTTCTTGTTGACACAAGCAGTGATCAGATACAAAATGACCAGGCACATAGAGAGACAGCCCCCCCCGCCTATCAGCCAGGGTGACATCTCTCAGAGTTGTCTTTCTTTGATCACTTTGTCAGATACTTAATGCACACTTTTCCATCTCACACTTCTATCCTATTGAATATAAATAGCTTAATAATTTATGTGGGGACATGGAGGGGAATACTTTTAAATGGTAATATGAAGACTACAGTCTAATACTAATTGAAGTCCCGGAGAGTCCTGCTGTCACTTTGTTGACAGCAAACATACGCTTGCGATCCTATGACTTGATTTGCTGTTTTTTTTTTTTTTTTCAATTATAACATCAGTTAAGCATGGCTTCTGTAAAATAATAAAATGCAAACCTACATGATTTTCTTTTTCTGTGATTGATATTAATGATATACATTTTTAATGATGAAAAGCTACAAAAATAACAAAAATCAAGAGTGAAGTCTTGTGCTTTCTCCATCGATCAGCTTGATTCCTCAGAAAAGCCAAAAGTAGTTCAGGGCACCTGTGTTATAACACTAGCCAAAAATGTAGTTTTGTGCTGATAGAAGCCAGAGATGGGGAAGTGATATCATAAGTTACTTTGTATCCAGCTTAGGATTCCTCAAGAACACTGTAAGCAATGCCATGGTGCGCAAGATCGACCTACAACTTAGTTAGAACACAAGATGTGAGGCTGACAGGCAGCTTGAATTTCACATTTCTTGGTAGGTTTTTACCTTCACAAGTTACTAAGCTACTCTCACGTTTTAAGATCTTCATCTTCTAAAACCACTTGCAATCTAAAATAAGTAGGTCTGATCAGATAGAGAAAACTGTTTATCAATAGGCACGACAACATTATTTATGCTTTAACAAATGCAATAAAATATGGTTATCACACACTGAATGGAGAGAAGGGGAATTTGTCCCCAAGTTTAGTGCCAGTGGTGGCAGTGGTGATGAGGAGACGGTTGGACTAGATGATCTTGTAGGTCGTTTCCAACCTTGTGATTCTATTCTATGATCTATGAAAATCTCGAGGAGTATGTTACATTTAGATACAGAGAATGTTAGCAATAAAGATAAGAGTGATTTTATTTTGTATTGAGTTCAATTCTATGATTTCAGTGCATTCTTTCCCATTCAGTCATCATTTGCTAAAAAACGCTCTGAATTTTATGGAGTTGCATGGAGATTTTCAGAAACAGTGCCTGTCAGTGTTACCCTCAGCAGTGGGTGACGTAACACAGTTTGAATTAAGTTGCTCACAAGCTGCTGCTTCTGAACATGGAGAAATCCTGTTAGAGGGACACAGTTTGGGCATGTAGTGGCTGTCGCTGTAGAAGATTAGTCTGTGATTACAGCACTGTAATGTCATTTTCATGCCAAGTCAGTGGGTTTACATCTGAATAATAAACACATGGACAAAGTCATTTACTGAAAGTTAGCCTGAAAACTGTTACAGGAAATGGCTAATTTGGCACTTTAATATGGTAACTCCTTGGCACTAAGGGTCAGTTTTTCCCATGTATTCAAGCCCACCGCTTACATATTTGGCCCCTGAGTAGACCAGTAATGAACTGCTTAAAAAGGCATGAATAGAAATTACTGAATGACACACAGAGATTAAATGAAAGGCATCGGACTTAATATGTAAGAGCAGCTTCTATGTGCAGGCTAAGAGGCACTGTCTGCAGATGTGTACTTGAATCTAGACTTAACACTTAGCAATAAATACCTGTTGAAAAATAAATGATAAATGCATTGAAAAGTTGAATAGCATGTGTGACATAGATACGGGGCTGATGTGTTTCATTCTCCAGTGCTTAACAACCTTCCCAAAGTTAGACTTCGGTCAGTAACACGACTGCCCGTGATGTTAGATGTAGCCAGTACTCTACATTGGGCTATTTTCCACAGACTTTGAGGCTCAAAACAGTATATTTTCTCCAGTAGGCGCTGAGATCCCATTCAAGTAAAGACAGCATGTAGTAAGAAACTAGTGCACATCGTAGGTAAAGTATGTACAGAAGCTTCATTTTTGGAGGAAAGAAGCTACATGGTCAGTGTTTTTGGAAGTGACTAGGCCATTATGCACACTAAACGTAGATTTCTTGAAAT